GGGGGGGGGGGGGGGGGGGGGGGGGGGGGGGGGGGGGGGGGGGGTAAACGCATACACAAACGAATTCCGCCAAGCTCGTTCGGGTCACACGACAGAAGCACAAACCACACAGATCCCTCTTTTCTGGAGAGCATGGATGGCCTCCGCCTGATGCGATTCCCTATTACAGGCGCGCTCGGTGGCAGCGCACATGTGATCGAACATCAACGTCCGATCCCCAAATAAGAGCTGCCGGAAGGGGGTCGTCACAAGGACCACTCCTACAGAGCCACAGTCTACGAAGTAGGGACAAACAAAGACGAATAACCCCACTCCTTCAGTCTGCAACATAAATGAAGCCCGAACCCCCCCCAAACGCCGAACATCCACTCCAGGAGGCAAGGCCGTACTGGGCCGAATGCTAGTCACATTTACGGAATACCACAACTGTAGTAGGATGCATCACCTTCATCTCCCCTGGACATAAACCGCTCCCCGTTCTCGCGAACTCCCTGCACGAACAGGAGAGTAGGCACAACCTCTCCACATGAGCAGGTCGTGGGGATGGGAGGGGTGGACTACCGGCAGCACCCTCACCTGCGAGCTCCGTAGCCCCCCCCCCGACGTCAACACGGGTCCCCCTCTGGTCCCCGAACAAGCTCTCGAACAGATCCTCATCGGAAACGGCTCTCGAGATCTCCCCATCACCCCCATCACCACCGTCCTGTAGCAATCCTTCGCCGCCGCCGCCAGCCCCACCACGACGGTATTCCCTCCCTCGCCGTGCCCGTCTCCCCTCGATGCCGCGTCGCTTCTCTCCCGGCTTGATGTAGTCGTTGTCGCTGCCCCCCTCGTCGGAATCATGCCACATGCCTAGGAGCTCCTGCTCTAGGCTTCCGATGGAAGCCGGGGGGGGTGGGGTTTCCTGTGGTGGGAGCGTTCGGTAACGGGGGCTCGACTTTGGCGTACAATCACACAAACGGAGCGAGGATACTAGAAGGGTGGCTGCATCGCGCAGAGCAATTTCTGAGAGCTGAGGATTGCGTTCGGGGGACAAGCAGCGGCTGCAGTAGCTCACGCTTGCTAGAACTTTGTTTTAATATTGTCGCGGATGAATTTTCCACCGGTTTGGATCTGTCCTTGTTTCTGTTTTAATCGGAGGAGAGGGCAAGGCAAACGGCGGTTGGGTACTGAGAAAGACAGCAATGCATGGCATAGCGACTACAACTTGTAGTCCTCCGTACACACTGAAGGAACAGCCTATTCAAGTCGCACACACAACGCCACAGTTCGGTACAACAGTAGCGTGTGTCGCCTCTGTTGCGCACAGCACACCTTACAATGAACCACACGGCACGATTTGACAAAAGATCATGACAACAGGCCATGAACGACGATGTACGACGTACCATCACGCCTCTCCAAAACACAAGGGACGCGTCTACAAAAAAAACACACTTACTTCTGACATTCTGCCCAACAAGGTGCAGAACCAAAAAACACCGGGCAAGGCACTTCATGATGTACATGTACCACTGCCACAACTTCTACCTTTGCTGTCGCCTCTCACCTCGGACTCCCAACTACGTCTCCTCTTCCTCTTCTTCTTCCACGTCGTTCTCTCCGTCTTGCCGCCGCCACCGCCACCTAACGCGTCGTCATCATCAAAACCATCGCCCCCCCTCTCTCCCCCCCACCCCTCCTCTTCAACCTGTGCCTCGCCGGAGCGGGCGTCGGGAGTTGACCCGCCGTCCATTCCGGCTAGCTCAGACAAGAGCTGGTCGATGTCAACGTTGGACAGGCTTTTTGAAGGGGACGGGAGTGGTTCGTCCTCTTCATCGACGAAGGTGTCCTTTTTGCCGGCATGAAGCGGCGGGGCAAGCTGGTTTCGTGAAGAAAAGAAAGGGAGGGGGAAGGGATTGGATGTGATTAGAGGAGGCGTACTCTTGTTCCGCGTGCCATAGCCGTTAGGCCATTGACCACGCGTCCTCGAGAGGACGGAGCATCCTTCCCGCAGGACCGATCACCGATGGTTAATCGTATGGTTCCTTGTGTGTGCAAAGCGAGGGCAGCATGTCGTTGTTGATGTTGTTGTTTTGAGTTTCGTTTACATGGTTAACTTCGTTGAGGCCGAGTACCCGGAAGCACATATTTATCAAGTCCCTGTCCACGAGAACCGTCGACGAAAGAGGGCAAAGACTGGGGGCGTTAACGCCTAAAGCAGGCGAGCTACAGGAGGCCACTATTTCCGATTGGGTTGCTGCGCGTAAGCTGTTCACTGTGGCAGCCATCTACGGTTGCTACTGCTTCCATCAGTACCTTGCGAAATAAAAGGTCCTTCTGTGTTTACCGTCGTAGAACCTGGTACCAAACCAAGGTCGTCCGGCAGCAGTCCCAACCCAGAGTTTGCCCATGACCGAGTGTACCGCAGATTGGAAATAGTCTCTCGTACGCTGGTGGTGCTATTGAGAGGCGCGACCCCTCCCTACGGATACAAATCCCTCCACCACCCCTCTTTGGAGGGTACTGCTTTAGTTATAGTCGTGTGCCAGTGCGCCTGGGCAGTTGGCTCCTGAAACCGTCAGCACCGCTTCGAAGATGCCACGCCCCGCGGAGAAAGTTTCAGAGTTTCGACAAGTATCTCCCATGTTGATGTCTGCAGGGACGGCGCAATCTTATGCTAGGCGATGGATGAGTCGCTTTACCGCGTGGATGGCAACCGGCCTGAAGCCACTCGTGGATGGATTGGGGGGGTGCTATCTACCGTACTCTGCACGTGTCGAGATGTTATCTGTTTTCAACTTCCAAGGACTTTCTCTGTTGCATTGCCAACAAGCAGGATGTGTAGGCGTACCTCGGTGTTCAACGCCACCCTCGCAAGTAGCAACCCCGGAAGCAACCCTATTTAGGCTGCAGTAGCGTTGACGCGTCAGCATGATTCTTCGAGGTTCAACCCATCTGTTGGTGAGTTAATCGTAGTAAAAGCGCAAACTACGCGACACCAACATCGCTAGGTTGCAGTTTGAGAAGGATGAACTGCTCTGGATCAGCACACCTGATGCTGCTGGTCGAACGCCATCGGTCTTCCTGCGCCCCATGAGGATACTGGCAGCCGCAGGCCGCCGCCGGCAGAAGCAGCAGCTCGGTCGCCTCCGCAAGCCATGCTCCGCATTTCAAACCGCGAAGCAGCATCTGCGGACAAGGTGCTGGGCAAACCATTAATACCACCACTCCTTCTCCTCCTCGTCAGAAAAGAGCTCCAAGTAGCGCCAGTGGTAAACGCGACAACGCCTCTGGGCGCTACTGTAGCCGCCGCGGTAGCGCGAGAGCGAGACCTGGTGCTGTCAGCGATCAACAGGAGCCAAGACACCAAACCAGCGGCCACGTTGCTGCTGCCGCTGCTGCCTCTGCCTCTCCGCCGTCGCTGCATTACTCAAGCTCCAACCACAGACGGCAACAGGGAATAGGTCCCCCAGCCTCTGTACTTGGCGTACTGGCTCTCCTTCCTTCGCGCTCGCGACCAGAAACAGACCTGCAGGCTGCAGGTCATGCAACCACATACACAGATTACAATGTGTCGGCTTGCTGTCGGTGCTGCACTGACTGACAGTCCCGGGGGGCTACCCCCTACTGGCAGTTCGTTTGGTCCAGTTCACAGAGACCCTGTGTAATACCGCTTGACGCCGCAGGCTGCGTAGCTGCTGCGAGCGTCACTTACAGCAGCACTGTCGCGGATGACGATCAACAGCGAGGCACCTTCCCTACCGTTGCCCGACAAGAAGCGATGGCGGAGATGCTGGCGAGCTGGACGTCCTCAGCGGGCGCGAGGCTGCTGTCTAGCGCAGGGGAGGCAGCCGACATCGTAACCTCAACTCACGACGACAGCACGCATGCGGAGGGGGAGGCGCACCACGATGTACGTTTTTATTTGTTTTTGTCTCGAGGTTGCCAACCCCGTTGCGCGCTCCTGTGCGGCACATCGGCTTGACTCTCCCGTAAGCTTTGTTGCGGGAGACTAGAAAGCTCTGACGGTTCCTTGACGAAAGAAGGGATAGGTCGTAGTGTATTCAACGATGTACCGATGAGGTCCAGCAGCAGGCTGCTCTTCTCGTTTTGTATCTGCACACGGGCCCTGCTGAAATCCGATCAAGATTGATCGATCAACCCGTTTCTTTTCACACGACAATTGACAACAGCGGGAAACAAGTTCGCCGGATGGCCTGCACTATGACGGCAACCCGCGTCAGAGTGCAATCCTGCTGGAGGGTTAGCATTGATTGAAACGCAGACCACAATCTCCCATGAAGCTGTAGAGGCCCGACAAGCCTCAGCACTCAGCACTCCTTGTGCCTTGCGTAAGGCGTTGCCTCATCGCTACCGCTGCTTTGCGATATTGGAACCGCTGCGCGCACACGCGCGCGCCCACGCGACCCCCTGGCGGTGGTGCATGCAACTGCTGCAATTATATTGCTGTCGCTGTCGAGGTTCTAATGTTAAGTTAGACACTAAATATCACGCACACATCCTATTGTTGTGCAACAACCAACCCCAGTAGCAGTCACAGCAGTTTTTTATGAAGTACACACAACCTCACAGAAACGCTAGTCTAGACTACCCGTTCGAGATATCTAACCTCAGTCGAAAGGGATGTGAAGTCTTGTCAGCAAGTGGACCAACTGAGACTTGGCTTATCTTGAGTTTTTGAGAGTTTTTTGTTGCGAAGGAATCCCGCCTCCATAATTAGTCCTTTTTGCAACGATTCCGAAAACCAACCAAAGCACCGAAGCCTGTTTATTCGCTCTGTGGTTACACCACGCACGATGGTTAACCCTCATGTGAAAACAGTTCTGACTGCAGTTCGGATTACTTTTGTCCCCAGAAAGATCAGAAAGATCGCAAACACGCCTAACGTGTCTTCGTTGCTGTATCGTCGTCCTTACCGCCGTGATCATGTGTGTTTTTAAAAGCTATCGACCTCAGTTGTATGTATCAGCGCTGCTTAGGCTGACTAGCTACTATAAATGGTTTGATTGGCTTTACGCTGACTGGTCTAATGGTTTTTGAGTTAGTCTTCCGAGAGCCAGTTCTCGAGGACTATACTGTATGAGGAAAGATGAGAGTCAGATTGTCATGTCTCTGTCACGTAAGAGGCAAGACGTCGGCGTGGTGGCTTACATCTCCAACGGGCGATCCCGTACCGGCCATCTGCAAGCCGTACAGTCGACCCCGCTGTAGAGACACACCTCGTTTTTTTTTTTTGGTTCATAACGCGGGAAAGTGTCGTTAAGGTTGCGGGGCTACTAACTCACCGTCCCCGGGGCCAATTCAGTCGTACCATACGTCAAAAGACGCGCATTCGCAGCAGGAATGCGACCACGAAACGGAGCTGTTGGAAACCTACGACAAAACGTAATTTGAAGGCCGCAACTACTGCTGTTGTACTCCAATACTGCTGTACATGGTTTGAATTTCCCCGTACCACCGAAACGCGAATAAATTAAGTCATACGCAGCTGTCATCCGTACGCAAGGAAGTAAGCACGAGATGCCGAAAACCCTTAGCAGGATGCAGCGCACCCTTCATGCGACACGCCGAATATCTCACGGCACTTCGCGCTTGGTGATGTGAGAGCCTGGTCCGGTGAGAACCCGGCGTGCTCCGTCCCGGCTTTGTAGGGATGCGAGGTCAGTGGTCTAGCGACTACGGCATGCACGACTATGAATGAGTACACCCACCGAAACGCGGGAAGGGGTGCAGCACGATCTTTGTAATGTGCGCTGGTGTTGTTGCAGGCTTTTTTTTCTTGTTGAGGCGTTGTCCTCACGGTGAACGTTTTGCCCGAGATCTCGCTATTGCTCCTGAGAAACATCAGCTGTTGGCACCAACTCTGATACGATACAGGTAGGCTACCTGCCTCATGGAGACCAAACAACATCACCCACACGGAACGACACTAGGAAAATGTCGGTAACGCAGGCAACACCAGACAAAAAATCGGGAATGTACACCGAAAGCGAGGACAACGCTCCTCCCCAAAGGTCAAAACGAGGCAAAACACAAAACATATTATGCCAAAATCGAACTTCACGAGACTTCACCCAAGGCAAACAAGTAACACCAAGCAACGAACGTGGGCATCCGAAGTGCAGTAGTCCTTAAAAATCGAAACTACGCCGCCCACATATCCCGAAGAGTCGCCTGCACCTCGCGCCCCTCCTTCGCTGTTCGCTTGTCTTGTGTGCTGCAGCAGTTTTTGGGGGGGGCGCATGATGTAAAATGAACCCTCCATAGTATTTTTATATCTGCGGGGCACCGTGTTTCTGGTAGTTGTTTGTTGTGTCCTTGAAACGGGGAGTTTCCTTAAGAAAAGTGTCTTTAAAGGGGCGACGACTGTACAGCAGTCGGTCCATTGTGGTTTTCGTTACAAAAGAAGGGCTTTGTTCGTTGTCCAAACGACATATGTTGCGCTCGACAACACTTTTACCCACGACGTGTGTACCTACAAGAGGATGCGTGTGATGCAAGGAATATGAACATTAACATGCCTAAGAAAATGCTGTTCATACGCATATGTGGCACGATCGCATTGTTTCACACCATGTATTTTCCTATGCGTAGGTACAGATTGTTGTCGTGTGCAAATTCCTTCTATTTTCCACTCAAGATAACACCCCTACAATAGATACCGCCCCCGTATAGATTACCACATTATCAGGCGATGATATTTTCGCGGCTCAACATGAGCCCAAGGTAATATTTTTCCCAAGCTGTTAGATCAAGGTACCACACAAAAACCCCTAGAACCTTACATCGCCCGCTGCACATACTCCTGATCGACGCCAAAGGTGTTATCGCCGGGCATGCTATCTTGAGTGGGATACGGTACCCATAGAGACATGCGCGCAAGGGTGCCTGCACGTGCGTTGTACGATTGAACCGAGAGACGAAGCCGTCCGTTGGCTGGCCAGACTGGCTCTGTTTCATGCGCGGTTTGGGGGACCACGCAAACACACGTGGTACGGCAGGCGCCGCCACTCTCAGGAACCCCTTCGCTTTGCCTGAGGCTCCTTTCCTAATCCCTGTGTGGGGCCGGTAGCCCAACAGCGACCAATGGATTTTGCGCGGGGGTTCATGTTTTGAGCACCTGTTCTCATGGTCAAGTTCTGAACTCCCAGGCTCTTCAGTGATTCCGCGTTCGGTAGTCCAAGGGGAGCGCATACTCACTCAACAGGCACTTCGGTGTTGCACAACGCGTGCGGCAGCACCGATATATCGAGACCGGAGCATTGGCACTTGCTGGGTTGGTTCATGTCCTGCACCATCCGTGCGTGGTTTGAACGGGATGGGCAAGTAACCAGGGATGTGAAACAATAAGAGGTGGTGGTTGTGCAGATGTTTTGTTTGTGTTTCGCTTCAAGGCGAGAAGAAGTAACACCCTCCTATGAGGTTGTAGATCGAAACGACGAACAATCAATCTCCCATACATGTTTTTTTTCCTTTCCACCGCCGAGAACAAACGCAAGGATGTGAGATCTTGGAGCGCAAAACCCGTTCGCATTGACGTCATCGCCATGCTCGGTCCATTTCGCCATCGTGACCCCCTCGAGTCCCTCCATGCAGCCACAGATCATGCAAGAGGGTAGCCGTTTTCCTCGTCGCCGAAGATAATGGTCCTATCAAACCTTGCAATTGTGACGATCGGTGGGCATGTACGATGAACGAGCACTTCGGTTTTGCTTGGTTTGGCCAATACTTCAGGCTCCCGCCCCTACCCGCCCCCTCAACACGCACGCTAACCGTTTGTTCCGAATGATTTATCGATTTTTCCGAAGGTGACTGACCAGGGGGTGGGGGCAATCGTGTTCGCCCTGGCGATAGGCGTGGTGTTCCGGGCCTACGTCATGCACTACGTCCGGCTGCCGTATACCGTCCAGATCCTCGTGGTGAGCGCGGCCGTCCTTTGTGTTGCTTTGCGTTGTCGGCACAGTGATCGCGGGTATAGTGATCGCGGGTAGAACGTCGCCATGATCGTGGGTAATGTATCCACGATCCATCTTCATTTTTCTTCTGTTTCTGGTGTTTGTGCTCCTGTCATATTGCCACCGGTGCTTGCTGCTGCTTGCTACCCTACGGTCTCGGCCTTTATCTACCCGAAGAGCTCCAAATTGTACCCAATACTTCTCTGTCGGTTGCCTCCGTACGGCCTTGCGTTTCTCAACCTGAAGCAGTCCCGATCCGGCTCTAACAGAGAGATTATCCTGTTGGGTCGCGTATAAATCAAGCTGTCGTAGGTACTGCACGGTTCACATCCGCGGAGTTGACTCGTCCTTCATAGTTTACTCGGAGACGGTTAGCGCCGACGACCCTACGTTGTCAAAGAAACGTGGTGAGGGTGTGCGGTCAATCGATTTTTCAAAGCTCCAATTTTTCCACAACCAGGAGGCCACCAATGCTGACAAGGGCGTGTTCGGAAAGATCTCGTTACTGGATTGATCTCTTCGAGAGCTATCTTCACGGTCTAGTCTCGCATCCTCTTGGTCGTGGAACCCGAAGATTTAGCTGCTCGATCGCACTCCTGTGCGTTCGCCCCCGCAAATTCGATATGTGCGCGCACACGCTTATAACACACGCTTATCCCTCTCACCACATGCTTGTCGCAGGTCGGCATCGTGATCGGGTTAATCTTGGAGTTCACGGATCAGTCCACCCTGGGGTCGGACCTGTCTACCTCCCTCGACACGATCCGATCCATGGACCCCGAGATCATCTTCTACGCGCTGCTGCCAATCCTGATCTTCGAGTCGGCCTTCTTCACGGACGTTCACATTTTCCTGAGAGAGATGTGGCAGGTGACGCGGAGAAGGAAGGGGGGTGATGGTGGTGGATGTACTCATAGCCGTGCATGCGTAGTCCTTCGGCCATCAACCTCGCATCCCTACTAAGCCAGGACGGAGCGCGCCGGGTTTTCACCGGACCAGGCTATAATAGCACATCACCAAGCGCAAAACGCCTAGCGATATTCAGCGAGAAGGCTAATTAATGTCGATTGACAGTGGCATCTGGAGAGAGAAAGAGGGAGAGGGAGAGACACAGACGCAGAGAAAGAGAAGAGACAAGAGACATGTGGATGTGGTGTCATGTGGTGTGGTATGGTGGGGTGTGAGTTTGGGTTGATGTGGCTTGTTGAAAGAGCGATGCTATGTGTGCTGAACCAGCCCCTTGTCCGTTGCGACAGAACCCCTCTATTTTGAACAGCTTCTTCCCCTCCGAAACTGCCAAATTTACTATTCAGACAAGGCACACCTCCGGAGTGGGCTCATCGGAGGATAGTAGTAAATAGTGTCGTGAAGGTGTGATGCAAGATGAACGTGTAACCCATGTGTTGGTATGAACCAGCTGCCAGCTGCCATCAGCGACGTTTCCCAAGCTCGAACATCTCACAACAGCTCACGTGTTGTTGACTCGACGAGCCCAGCGAACCTCAACGAACCAAGAAGAAGAATCACAAATCTGCATTCAGCCCAAAACATGTACTTGAGATTCTTGAAAATGATTTTCTTCTTCTGCTGTAGTCACCACAAAGTCTCATCTATTCAGTCTCATGCTCGATGTTTATCCATATTCCTTTTTGTCTGGGACGCCCGATGCAGGTGCTCGTGCTTGCCGGCCCTGGGGTAATGGCGGCGACGATTATGATGGCCGTCTTCTCCAAGTACGTGTTCCCTTACGACTGGGACTGGAACACATGCCTCTTCTTCGGAGCCATGACCAGCGCAACCGATCCGGTAGCTGTGGTTGCGCTCATGAAGGTACCAGCGCGTGCTTCCATGTGTGGCAGCTTGCCTTTGGTGGTGTTTTTGGTTGTGATGGTGCTGCTGGTGCACCTGCTGCTTTTGCGCATTGAAAGGCGCCGTGGGAAATGTTGGCGACGCCTGCCGGGAGGTTGACTACCGAAGTATGACGAACCTACACGAGACTTTCGAGTCGTTTCGAGAAGGGTAAATTCGGTGCCTTAGTATCATCGGTCTAACCTAGCCGGGTACATTGGCCATTCCGCGGCACCAACCCCACAACTTCCGCCACCATTTTTTCGTACGTGTGGCACTGGGACCGCGTTTTTCCCAGCCAAAACCAACTCGGCCGATCAGATAATCTTCCCTCATTTTGGTATCGGAGCCACTGAATATTTTTTTCTGAGTACCCCCTAGCGCTTTCCCCCTGTCTTCGAGTGCAGTAGGATGTAGAAATTTTGAGCACAAGAGCCACTAGCAGGTCAATATCTGAGTCTGCCCGAAACGCAAGAAAAACGACCAGCTTCTGGTTCATCCTTGTGAAACGTGTCCTGGGCCGGCCAAAGCCCGGCATATCACTACTTCCCAGCATTGTGGTCTACCCACTGCGGCGTGCGTTAACATGAGTGCCTACCACCCTGCTCTTGCATTTTTTACCAGGAACTCGGTGTGTCGGAGCGACTGGCCGTCCTGATCGAGGGGGAGTCGTTGCTCAACGACGGAACCTCCATTGTGGTGTTCTCCGTCTTCTTCGACGCGTCCACGGGGATAGGGTCGACGTCCGTGGGCCACGTTGTGGCTCAGTTCGTGCGCCTAGGTCTCGGGGGCCCCGCGGTTGGCTTCTTCACGGGCATGATCGGGTGAGTGCGTGCTGATATTGCACGTTTTTGGTTCTCGCTGTGATTGGCTGTCGACCGCGCTTGCCGGGTGACGGATGAAAGCTTACGAGCGGGATAAAACACGCGTTTAAGGTTTCCTGTCATCGGGCTCCTACTCAAGCCTTTTTTTTCTTTTCGTCACTTTGAATCAGCCCTCACCAGTCACAACATTTCTGCTGGGTAGGAGCTTTGTCCAATCTGTGGTCACACAGCAGGGTTGCTCCCCCTGAGCCCCCCTACCCACCCTTCCTGCGGTGCTTGTCTTCGACATTTGACGCGACATGAGTCTTTCGTAGCCGAGTGTGATGACGCTCGTTTAGTTTTTTCCTGGAGCACGAATTCCTCTAGCTTTGTGTTCGCCGCTCATCCAGGTGGTCTTACGGTTAAAATAGCAATTGGTTGCAGGTTCGATTCTCCCTCTCGAGAGTGAACAATCTGTAATCCTGCGGCGGAATTGTGAATTCGATTCGGGAGTGTGGTAGACAACAGGATGAAGGCCCAGAGACCTCTTGGTTGCCTCGTTACCGGGGTTGGCGACGCCTCCATAAATCGACGATGGCATATGATGACTGCTGAAGCTTCCCCCCCGCCTCCACGCTATCCCACGACGCCATCGTGGTCGCCTTTCTTCTCCTGAATCCCTCCCCATATCTATATCTCCTTTCCTGAGTTGGATGAAACTCAAGGATTACCCTGCTTTTTGGTCACATCCTCCATGACCACCCTAGCCAGGTGGCGATATCGCTTGTTTCCCGTCCCCTCCCCTCAAGCGTGACCCCTTGCTCCTGACCGTGACTCGGCGGGCGTGTTGCCGGAACTCTTGTGGTGGACGGGACGTGCGCAGGTCTTTCGCCATCGGTTACATCCTGGAAGACCACCTGAGCGAGATCACGTGCACCGTGGTGGTCTGCTTCAGCGCCTTCCTCCTGGCCGAGGCCACGATTCTCAGGGTGAGCCAGTTTCTGTATGGATGGGTTGAGCACGTGTGACGGTGTGTGACGTGGTATGGTACGGGTTTGTTGTGCCGATCTCGGCGTGACATGGTGTGGTGCCGGTGGCGAGGTTTGCCTCTCTTGCGGGTTTATAACGTGGGGCGGTACGGCACGATATGGTACGGTTGCATACCTTGGTGGTATGCTTGATGAACTTGTTTCCCTCCCCATGACCAAAACCTACAAATGAAATACACTACAATATCAAATGAAAGCAAATCAAGTCAAACACCTCGCACATTGTGTTCCTTAGTCGTTGGTGCTTGTCATCCACCGAGGGTGCTGGTGATACAGGTGCGATGCCCGGTTTTTCCTTCACAATTGGCTTTCCCTTCGCTCCGACCTCTCCATGCATCCTCCGTATACCTTGACACCTGCGGTTGTTGGCAACCCCCCCTCTCTCTCTCTCTCCCCCCCGCTGTTGTCGTCGCACGTCGCACAGGTTTCTGGCATCCTATCGGTGGTGATCGCAGGTTTGTACATGAGCTTCTATGGTCGACCGAGAATATCACCCTCTGTTCAGGTTAGTCTTTCCTTAACTCGTATGTGTTGCTCTTCTCTCTCGCTCTCCCTCTCTCTGGCTTTCCTATGTCTCCCCTCCCCCCCCTCTTCGTTCCCCCTTTTAGCTGTCTTACTTGTCTTTTTCAGTCTGTGGTGCGTGATTGTGTCTGTTGGCTGAATTGCTCCGCTGTGGTAAGTCCATAAAATTCCCCCAGGTCCAGCTGTAGCGTCACATAGTCGTGCTTTCGTGTGGAGCCACAAAACAAGAGGTTGGACGGAGAGAAAATGTCGGTTGCGGAACAAGAGAGGATCGGGACAAGCCAAAGCAGTCTTTTAATCTCTGAAACCGTTTTCGTCTCTTAGATCGTATGCATACCGTATGCAGTATTCCACCGTCAGGGCAAGTCACTCTTTGCGCTGTTTCTTCCACACTGTCTCTGAGATGCTCTCCCAAGCCGTAGCCTGTAGGGCAAAAAACGCTGTATGCATTGAGCCGTCCAACGATGAGGAAACTAGACGAGCTGAGGTGCCTTGTTTCTTCGCGGCTCGAAGAGAGCTTACCCCTTCACCCGCCCCCCCCACGCCTCCTCCGCCAAGAAGAACCTCCATGGAGAGCCCCGTCTAACGCTCCTGCCTTTGTATCTCCTAGACCCTTGAGGGTTTCAGCATCCGTTGATAGCGAGAACTTGTTGCTATCTGCGAGGTGTCTCCTTTTGTCTCTTGTCGCCACCAACACCCAACGCGACACCTTGTACGGCGTCTCTTTTTGGAATAACCTTCGAACGGTGTTCGTCACAACTTGCGGCTTGTTGTGAGATGTTTTCCGTTCGATGACCAACAAGCCTTTCGCACAACAAAGACGGTCTCCTCTACGTGCGTACCGTGCTACGCTACCTCCCTTCTCACACCAAAACCCATAACGGCAACGTTCAAACAACAACAACCGAACATACAACATCCACATCAACAACAAAGACACCGCAACCCCGAACAACAACGTTCACATCGCTTTCACCACCAACAACAGCAACAACAGCAACATCAGCAACAACAGCAACATCAGCAAGCAACATCCCCTGCAACTATTCCGCCAACAACAGGAATCTCTCCGCGAGTTCTGGTCCCTCTGGGGATACATGGCGAACACCGTAATTTTCTTCCTGACGGGCTTCACCGCGGCCACGAGGGCCTTCGGCAGCGACAGCACCATCCAGGCCAGAGACTGGGGCTACCTGGTGCTGCTGTGGGTGGCGTGCCACATCGTGCGAGGCTTCGTCATCTGCGCGTCCTACCCGGTCCTCAAGTGAGACCACCCGTTTTCGTCTTTCGCAACCTCTTGTGTATGATTTTGTCCTCTCTCTCTCTCTCTCTCTCTCTCTCTCTCTCTCACTCTC